GAAAGAGCACGAGCTCAGTGCGTAGGGCCCGTCCACTAAGCAGTCAGTCCAGCGATCCAACCACCTTTCCTTCCTTCCTTCCACCCACCCATCCACCCTTCCATTTATCCATCCATCTATTCATGTACCCACCTATCAATCCATACACCACCTATCCATTTGTCCATTCATCCATCCATCCGTCCGTCCATCCATCCATCCATCTGTCCATCCATCCTGTCATCCACACATCCACTCATTTATCCAATCACTTTTTCCAACCAGCTAGGTGTTTGTTTGTACCCATGATACACCCGGTTCTATGATATATGTTCTTTTAAGAGGAGGGGGACAAAACGCCTGAGTCAACTTCCTGCCCAGAAGGACGCCATGTTCTGCCAGAATCCCAATCCCTAAGGGACACCACTCAGCCATTCAGTTAGGAGCCTGCTGGCTGCTGAGAGGGACAGATGAGTGTAGCAGTCTGCGTCCAGTCAGAAGACAGAAACACACAGTAGCTCAAACAGGGAAAGTTTAATATGCAGAATTGTTAACTATGGTGAAAGAGTAACTATAAGCTAGAAGGAAACTCTTTATGGTATTCTAGGGCTGGGGGAGAGGACCCAAGGATGGAAAAACTTGAGAGGGCTCGGGCCTCACTGGAGAGGGTGCTGTTCAGCCTGCTGGAGAGCAGAGAAGTTTGCTGGTCTGGCCAGGTGGCAGCTGGCCTGGAGTTGCTGGGCAAACCATAGGCAGCTGAGACCTTCAGAGCCCACGCGCAAGCAGCATGGGGGGGGGGGGCGGGGAGGAAGGGGGAGGGGGAGCTCTGGGGATTGGTGGGGCTCCGGCTGGCAGATGTAGAAGCTGCTCCGTGTGTGGCTGTGCAGGGCACTTACAGAGCGAGTCCGGGCACCAGCATGGCCAAGAGGCCTTCAGGTGGAGAGGCCAGAGCTGCGGGGGGTGTGGTGAAGCCTCGGGTCTGTGTTAGGAAAGGGCTGCAGGAAAGCCTGAGCCCAGGCTGAGGCTGCCATGTTGCAGAGGGACCATGTACCCCAGGAAAGACTCTCTGTGTCCTTAAAATAATTTTATTTTTAGGGAGCTTGCCACCTATCTGGCCTTTGGAACTTGGTTGGGACCACTTTAGTTTGAACTTAGGGAACAGGGGATGGGGTGACTGCCCTTATTCCTCCCAGAATTACTATTATTATTCTGCCCCCTCATCGTAAAGAGGATAAAACAGCGGCCCAGGGAGGCTGAGGGAGCCGCCCAAGGCCACACAGCTTGTGAGGGCAGTGACCGGGACTGGGCCCCAGATCCCTGAACCCACGCAAGGGGGTTCCTCCAGCTTCCCCCACTGCATGACCTTCCTGCCTCCCCCTCCCCCCAATACCCAGGATGGCCCTGGGGGAGGCAGGGAGGGCCAGGTGGCTGGAAGCACACTGGGGTGGATTTGCGTGCGCAAGGAGGCGAGGCCTGCCTGTCCCTCTCTCTCTGAGGTGGGTGGATCCACAGGGATAAAATGATGCTATCTGTAGACTGGCTCCTCCAGATCAGGAGGGAGACTGGCTGGGCTGACCTGGGTCCTGCTCTCACCCTGTCCCAGCCTGGCTTCAGCCCTGCTGACCTCAGGCCGGCACTTGCCCCACTCTGGCCTTAGTGGCCCTGTGTGTACAATGGGCACAGTAGCTTCATGGATCTTCCAGACCCATGGGCTCCCTGTGGGGTGGATGAGGAAAATCCCAGTCCTCCAGCGGCAACCCCGGGACTGTTCATCAAGCACAAAGGCCCTCCAGGGGCCCCAGCCAAGTCTCCCTGAGGGCCTTCTGGAGAGCAGAGCAGAGACTGGGCACCTGAGGCCTGGGTTCCAGCCCCAGCTCTGTGGCTGGCTCGCTGTGTGATCTGGGGTCACCCTGCCTTCTTTGTCCTCCAAGGTTGGACCTGGAGAGAAAGCCCCCCTGCGTCGTTACACTTACCACCTCGCAGTATCTCCTCCAGGAGGGTCCCTCTGAGGATCCCTTGCTGGGCCGTTAGCCCCTCCTGCCCGCTGTGAGTCTCAAAGGACCCAAGTCCAGATGGTCCAGCCAGCGTTTCCCAGGCCTTCGCACCTGCCGGCCCCCGCCTGGAACACCTTTCCCTGCCTTGCAGAGCTGGCTCTTCTCACCTCTCAGGTGTCAGCTCCAATGTCCCCTGCTCCAGGGGTCTTCAGCTCTGACAAAAAACCTATTCTTCCCTCCTTACCCTGTCCCTCTGGTTCAGTGGTTGCCACTTCCTATATTGCCCCAGGAATGATCTGGTGCTGTGGTTGTTGACTTGTGGACCGCCCGTCTTCCCCTGAAGGCTCCAGGAGCCCTCTCAGGACGAGAACCCCAACTGGCTTGTTTGCTGTGGCATCCCCAGCACCCTGCACAGGTCTGGCACACAGTAGGTGCTCAATAAATGTTTGTGGAAGGAATGGATGAGTGCCAACTGTGTGCCCAGCCTTGTGGGAGGCCCTGGGTCTAGGGGAGGGGGCAGTGCGAGCCCTGATGCCCGCTCTGGCAACCACATGCCCTCCCCAGTGCCCGCCCTGTGCAGCCACCCAGGCTCCCTAGCCACCCCCGTCCTCTGTCCTCCACACTATTTACATTGGAACAGACTGAAGGGTCACGTGAGCATCAGGACTCTTGTTCTTCGGGTCTCTAGATAACCATCTGGGCCTTATCAAACCCTTAATTATCCAAGCAGCTAATCAGGTTCCTGAATATAAGGGCTTCCTTGTCCCAGGGTTGGGAGGCAGGGGTCAGTTGTCTGCAGGCTGTCCCCAGTCTCCACAAGGTAAGGACAGGCCCCACCTGTGGAACTCTCCCCAGAGAGCGTCTTACCCAGTCCTGCCACTTTACAGATGAGAACGTTGAGGCCCAGAGAGGGGAAGGGACTTGCCTGAGGTCACACAGCAACCGGGTGGCAGGGCCAGGGCTTGGATCTGTGTCTGACCCCCGCCCAGTTCTCCCCACTTGATGGGAGGCCACTGGGCATGGCAATCTTCAGCTGCTCTAGGACTTAGGCAAGATCAAGGAGACGGCAGATCTGAGAAGCCTCCCAGGGCTCCATCTGGGGCCAAGGGAAGACCAGGGAGGCCCTGATTTGCAGGAGCTCAAAGCTGAGCTGGGACAATGGGGTGATGGGGGCATCCAGGAGCATTTGCCAGGCAGAGAGAGGAGGGAAGATGGAAGGAATTTCCAGATGGAGGAAAATGTGTGAGTAAAGGATGGGGGCAGGGGTGGCAGGAAACACTCGTCCTGGGTGGGATGGATTAGGTTGACAGTCAGGTTCAAACTGTGGGCACTGGAGGTTGAGGCTGGGGGCCTTGGAGGTTGAAGGAGGGCTTCCTGGTGGAGGAGGCAAGGGCTGAAATTAGGACTTGAGGGATGAACAGGTTATGGATGGGTGGAGGGAGGGACAGCTCAGGCAACAGCATAAGCACAGTCAGAACAAAACCCTGGCATGAACCGTTTGTCCCAGAAACACCCGCATGACCATGTTACCCCGAGCCATTCATTATTCTAAGAGGGCAAGAAATCCAACCCACGTGGCCTTAACATCTGGCATCAGTTCTGGCCTGGGAATTGGGGGGCTAGGGTGGTGCTTGGTCTTGGGGCTCAGGCTTCCCAATGAGAGATGGGGCTGGGGCCGGAGAGACCTTTCCCAAGCCCCTTCCAGCGTTGTGGCCCTGGCGCTGACTTCCACAGTCCCTCTGGGCCTGCCTGTGCCGGGCACACACCCATGGCACATGTGTGTGTGTTCATAGCGATTGAGGAAACACCAAGATGGGTTATTTTCAAGCCCAGATAGACATTTAAAAACGGAATGGGATAAGAGAGAAATGGATCACACTTCCATTTAGCAAATACTGATGGTAGGCTTGAATGGCCTCCCCTGGCTTTTTATACGCTGGCTCCTTCCCGTCCTTTAGGTCTCAGCCTAAATACCTGCTTCCCTGACACCCCTCCCCCTCCTCGCACACACTGTATCCCGTTTGATGGCTTTAAAATTCAAGAGGAGCAGTACTATCTCTGTCATGTGAACTTGTAGCCCAGTCTGCTTGGAACATAGCAGGCACTCAGTGAATGCGAGTTGAATGAATGAATGAATGCATGCATGCATGCAGGCGTGGGCTCAGACTGGGGAGGCGGGCCCCCAGTAGGTCCCACCTCTGTTTGTGGATCAATGGAGCCCTCTGTGGTCGAGCCTGCTGGTGGCAGGAGCCCAGCTGGAACTCCCCTCTCCTGCGGCACAGGCCAGGCCGTGGCCCCTCCTTGATTCTTTCAGCCACAGCTCAAACAGGAAGTAAACGCTTGGCCTCTGGTTGGCCTTGGTAAGTAGGAGGGAGGGATTTCTGGGGACCTAGGCGTGGGAGGGGGCTTTCCTGGGAACCTTGAAGGGTCTGGGGTGGGAGGTCCTTATTCAGTTCTCTATTCACTCACTGGCCGGAGACCCTGGGTGTGTGCCTCAGTTTCCCTACTGGTGAGGCGGTGTCTCAAGGGGCCTTATGGGGCTGTGAGTTGAGATTTCCGGAAGTGAGACTGCACTGGAGGAGGTGCAGGGTGCCGTTGGCTGGAGTGTCAGGGTAGGGGGTGCAGAGGGTCCCCCATTCCCACACTGCCCTGGGTGTTCCCTGAACCTGGACCAGGCTGGAATCCCCTCCATGGTCCCAGCATTGCCCGGCCCTGAGCCACACTTGAACTCATGAAAAACTGCAACTGAACCTCCCAGCAAACCCAGAATGCAGACTGGTCGGAAGGCATCGTGCCCACAGATGAGGAAACTGAGGCTTGGAGGGGAAGGGATGTGCCTTAGAGAGAGCGACTCTAGAGGCCCTGTGTTTCATCTGGACACTCTTTGAGACTCCTCTGGAGAAGGCAGTAGTGAGGTTCACTGAGCTGAGATCATACAGGGGGCCCAGTCTGCTCTGGCATGGGAGGTGCCAGGGGAACCAGGGCCTGGTGGACTGCACCCATTTCCGGCCCCGTGGCACAGGTGGAGCCATGCTGCGGATCCTGTGTCTGGCACTCTGCGGCCTGCTGACCCGCACACGGGCAGACCCTGGGGCACTGCTGCGGCTGGGCATGGACATCATGAACCGCGGTGAGCTGGCGGGTGGGGTGTGGGGCCGGGGCAGGACAGGGGGTGGGTGGTAGGTAGTCACAGCTCATGTTTGCATGGCCTTGAGCATCCTATGATCCTCAAAGTAAACTTATAAGCAATACATTATTATTATTCCTGAGAAAATGCGATGACTTGCCAAAGGTCCTCCCACAAGTTGGAGGCAGAGCTGGAAATCCTGCTTCCTTGGAGCCTCTCCTTGGCCCTGATGGCAGGAGTTGGTGGCCACAAGTGAGCTGTGGGGGTTACAAACATGAGCCAAATCCCACTCAGCCAACAATTTGCTGTGAGACTTCAGGCAAGTCATTTACCCTCTCTGTGTTGCTGTTTGCTCATCTGTAAATGTAAAATGTAAAGAAATGTAAAACAGGGTGACCAGTCCTTTCTTGGCAAGATCCCATGAAATGTGAGATTAAAATTCCCTGAGGGGACTTCAGTAACATTTATTTTCCACCTCTAAGCTCCAGGACTTCTAGAGAAATGAAGTCACCTCCAGGGCAAGGGCTAATGACAGTTCTAACAGCTCAGTGTCTGCCCCTTCTCTGGGAGTTAGCCTGGGACTGTGATGGAGGTGTCTCTGGCGCGGCGTCATGGGGGTTGGGGCCTCCAGGCCCGGGGCATCAGAAGGTCTCTGCTGCAGGTACAGAATGAGCACTTTAACAGGCTCCTGGATGAGTTCCCTAGTCACCCAGGTTTGAGAGAGGCTGGGCCACAGGAGAAAGTCGACTCTGGCTTGGGGTTCAGGCCTCCACGATGTGCCCCCTGAGAACTGCTCCAGTTTCTCTGTCGTGTCTCCCTGCCCTCCAGCCGTGCTGTATTCCTCTCTCTTCCCTCACCGTGCTGCCCTCTTCCCCCTTCCCCGCCCTTGCACTTGCTGTGCCCTCTGCCCAGAGTGGCCCCTTTATCCATTTGCTTCCTGGTGAAAATTCCTATTCCTCCCTCAAGTACCAACTGATATGTCACCTCCTTCTGGAAGCCTTCCCAGCTCTTCCTTTCCTGGCCCAAACCCCTCATGTGGTTCCTCCAGCTGCCTGCACTTGTTATGGCTCTTGTCACTTGTTTTTGTCATTGCTGGTGATTCTATTTCCCTCATGAGGCTGGAGGAGGGCAGAGACTGGGCGCGACTCATCTCTGGGTCCCCAGATCACCCAGGCCAGGGTGGGGCACAGCGACTGGGGCATGTAGTGGTGCCACTTGTAAGTGGCATGGGCCTGAGATGCCTGAGAGAGTAGCACAGGGCAGGGAAGGAGTGGGGAGCCCAGCTGAGGGTCTCTCCGGACCCCTCCCCCTTTCCAGAGGTCCAGAGTGCCATGGATGAGAGTCACATCCTGGAGAAGATGGCAGCTGAGGCGGGCAAGAAACGGCCAGGGGTGAAACCCATCAAGGGCATCACCAAGTGAGCAGGGGAGGGCGGAGGGTGGTGGGGAGTGCAGGCTGGGACCTGAGGAGGCAGGAGGGGAGCTGGAGCAGGGTGGGGACCTCTTCTGCCTTACTGCTGGCTCACTGTGTGACCTGGGGCAGGTGACTCCTCCTGCCAGGGCCTCTGTCTTCTCAGTCACCCACTGGGGACAATTCCTGTCCTGTTGTGAGTAGGGTCATGCGGAGGAGGCAGTGAGGTTGATAAGCCAAAATCCAACTTCCTGCCTGCAGCAGGAGCTCACTGAATGTGTGTGACATTGAACGAGAAATCCTCAAATGGCAGAGCTGGCAAGGTATCGATAATCATCTAATGACGGGGCAAACTGGTTCCACGGCAAGTGTCATATGGGACTGATTGGTAGAGTCTGCCTGGAATGAAGAACTGAGGAGGGTCCTAGGGCACTCGCTGAACTGAGCAGGAAATAGGACTGTGATCGATTAGCAATGTCTGCCGAGAGCTCAGGATGGGCAGCTGGAGGTAGAGGTGCCATATCTTTGTTATCCTGGATCTTGACTGGTGGTTCTCAATCAGGGGTGATTTTGCCTCCAAGGGACGTTTAACAATGTCTGGAGACATTTTTGGTTGTCACGACTTGCCAGGGAGGGGAGGGGAGATGCATCTAGTGCCTCTAGGGGGTAGGGGCCAGGGATGCTACTAAACATCCCATAACGCACAGGACAACCTCCCACAGCAAAGAATTATCCTGCCCAAAATGTCAATAGTGCCGCTGTTGAGAAACTTGGATCTAAGCAAACCTCCCCATTCTGCCAACGGGGAAACTGAGGCCTGTGGAAGGGAAGGGAGCGGCCCAAGGCCACACATTAAGATAAGTGTCCTGACTCACACAAGAGTGCTTTCTGCGTACAAATTGGGTCATGTCCAGCCTTCTGTTTGTGTCTCACGATGGCCCCACGAGGCAGGCTTATCCCTGTGGCACGGGTTGAGGAATTTACCCAAGGCCTCCCAGCAAGGAGGTGGAGGAGTAGGCTGAGGGCCTGGGTCTCGCCGCCTGGTGCTCATTGCTGCGGATATCTCTCCCGGCCCAGCCTGAAAGTGAAGGACGTGCAGCTGCCTGTCATCACGTTAAGCTTCATACCTGGGGTGGGCATCTTCCAGTGTGTGTCCACGGGCATGACCATCACGGGCAAGAGGTGAGCATGGCGGGGGAGGGGAGGAGGGAAGGAGAATGGCCTCCTTGTCTCACCCTTACGTGCACATTTATTGAGCACCTACTGTGTACCACCTGGGTGCTGTGCTCTGAGATGATGCAAACTTGGTTCCTACCTTTGATGGGAACAAGACCTGAGCACAGACGATCACAGACTGAGGGATTAGCCTGGGACAGAAGAAGCATTGGTGGGGTGTTAGGGGGTAGGATCAGAAAAGGCTTTGATGATGATGAGATGATGACAGAGCAGGGTTTTGAAGGATGCATAGGAGTCCACCAAAGCAAGAGGGGAGAGGAAAGGCTGGTTGTGTGACCTTGGACAGATCCCATCCCCCTTTCTGTCCTGTGGGGTGGTCCCCCATCTTTCCCTCTCTCAGAGCTGCTGAGACTGTGGGTAAAGAGGAGACAGAGATGCCCATGACACCTGTCTGCCCCCTCCTCCAGCTTCATGGGAGGGAACATGGAGATCATCGTGGTCCTGAACATCACAGCCACCAACCGGCTTCTGCAGGACAAGGAGACAGGCCTCCCCACGTTCAAGAGTGAGGGCTGTGAGGTCATCCTGGTCAGCGTGAAGACCAACCTGCCTAGCAAGTAAGGGGCTCGGGGGCTGGGGAGGACGGCTGGGTCTGCATTGCCACCCCGGCCCAGCACTCCACTTCCTGGGCCACCGCACTTCCTTAGCCATGTCCCTGCACGTCCTGTACCTAACTTCCTGCCATCTGTGCCCCGTCCCCGTCCTCTGTGTCTAGCATGCTGCCTAAGGTGGTCAACAAGTTCCTGTACAGCACCCTACACAAGGTCCTCCCCGGCCTGGTGAGTGCCCGGAGCCAGCCTCCACCCCCAGCCGTGCGCTTACGCCAGGCCCGGCAGGTGTACTGTATCTCCGTGCTGGCCCTGATTGACCGAGAGCGGCTGACGGGATACTGAGGCTGTGCTGGCTCAGTGGGAGAAAGTGCTGTGATCAGCTAGTGATGTCTGCCACAGCACGGAGGAGGAAATGGCGGGCTGTGTGTCACCGCTTGCCGACCCTGCCTAGATCACCAGTCCCTGGGGAATGAGTCCTCACCAATTTTGCTGGCTGTGGTCGGGAGATCTGGATTCTAGTCCAGGCTCCTATTGACTTTCCCTGTGACTTGTGGCCTCGGTTTCCCATCCAGTCCCTGTCCCGCCAGGGCTCCTGGGACTCCCGGTGGAGTAGCATTCAGCTGTGAGGAGTGAGGCCCTCCATGCAGGGGCCCCCTCAGCCCAGCGCCCTCTCTGCTTGCAGATGTGTCCAGCCATCGATGCGGTCCTGGTGTATGTGAACAGGAAGTGGGCCAACCTGAGTGGTGAGTGTAGTAGCCCTGGCCATGCCTTGGTCCCACATGGGGACACGAGGGCAGCCGGACTTTGATGCTCCACTTCCCACTCAAGTGACTGCTCCCAGCCCAGCCTTGGGACTAGAGGGGGTCTGATGTCATGTGTCTGGCCATCCCCCTGTTGTCCAGTTAGGAAGCCTGAGGCCCTGAGGGACTGTGGGGTCCTCGCCTCTCAGCCCTCCTTCAATATTCTATCCATCACCCCCAGACTCGAAGGACTGCAGCCATTCTGGTTACTTGCGCAGCCAGAGTAGTATTCTCGACGGTGGTGATACCCGGCTCCTTCCTTTGCCAGGGGGATCTGCTGCCTCCATCATCTAGGGGTCCACAGGGCTCCCCAGTGTGGGGGAGAGGAAAGCCCAATGGCTGGGACTGAAGAAAACTGGTTCACATCCCCAGCAGTGTGGGCTGGGACAAGTCACTTCATCCTCCAAGCCTCAGTCTGCTCATCTGTAAAATAGAGCCGATAATCCTGACCCCGCCAGGCTGTTGTGAGGACCAAGCTGTGATACCTTTGGTGAACTCAAGGCTTGTGCCTGCAGAGTGATGTGAGGGGGTGTGATTTTCCAGGTCAGGCACCATGCCTCCATTCTACAGATGAAACTACTGAGGCCCAGAGATGCTAAGCAACTTGCCTTGGGTCACACAGAGCGCCGGGGTTCCTGGGGCCCAGGTGAGGCTCAGCATCTGGCTGATGCTGACTTCTCTGGGATGCACCCGAGTTGGCGCCTGAGTGGAAACTTCTCTTTGCACAGCCCCCATGCCCGTGGGCCAGGTGGGCACCGTCAAATACGTCCTGACATCCATCCCGACCACCACAGCCAGCTACATCCAAGTGGACCTCAATGTAAGCACCAGGGGGCCACCAGGGGGCTGGGGTCTCAGCTCACCAACCTGAGTGGTGGGGGCCACTCCGGCCAAGGCAGGTGGCTGGACTGGGGCTGTGGGGGTGGGAGGGCCCCTCGGGCCCTGGGAGACCAGGCCCACCATGAGAGTGTTCCCTGACAGCAGGGCCCTCTCCTTTCTGCTCTAACATGAACCCTGAATCCTGAGCTGATTTCCAGGACTGCCACCTCCACACTCCTCCCTTCTCCCAAGGCTGTCTGCTCCTCCCAATGAGGGGCTCACCTAGCTGTACCCCACCATTGCACAGAGGGGAACACTGAGGCCCAGCAGGGAGGCAGCGCTTGGCTAGGGTCCCACCATGAGTTGGTGACAGAGTCGGGTCCTCACCCAGGTCTCCAGAGCCCCAGGTGACTAGGTGAGATGCATCTTCCAGGAATGGGAAGACAAATCCCAAGAAGTCGTCTCCCTGTAAAGTCCTCCTTTGGCGTGGTTCTTACAGACCCCACACTATTTTCCACTTACCTCTTTCTCCTGAGAATAAACAGAAAACACGCTCTGCCTACATGAGGGCCCCATCAGTCGAGTCAGATCAACGGAGGTTACTTGAGCAGTCCCGGGAGGAACCGCCAGTGGACTCCTTCATCCTCTCGGGCCTCAGTCTACCCATCTGCACATGGGGAGAGTTGAGCCATTGAAGCCTGAGGGCTCCGGCTCTAACATCTATTCACTTGCTGCCTTGGGCTGGTTTGAGCGCCGCTAGTTTGGAGGACTGAGACTCACTCTGGCCACCGCCCTTCATGGCCAAGGCTGAGTGTCTCTCTCCCGGCTGTCCCACAGCCTGTGGTGCAGCAGCAAGAGGGCAACACCATCGAGCCTGCCGATGCCGGGGAGCCCCTCGAGTTCCCCGAGGACTATGCTAAAGGCTCCTCACAGCTGCTGCTCTCGGCCGCCTTCCTCACAGCAGAGCTTGCCCTTCTGCAGAAGTCCTTTGATGTGAACGTCCAGGATATGGTGGTGAGCTGCCCAGGCCCCCTGTCCCCCGTCTGCATCTGCCCCCTGTAATGACAGCCCCTGCCTGGTGTGTCCATTCTGAGAATTATCCTGTGGTTGTGGGCAACACTAGGACTGGGAGATGCCAGGACTGATTTGGGTTTCTATTATCAGTTCACCCATCTCTCTGTCCCTGTAACCACCATCTACTCATCCATCCATCCAGTTCCATACAACCAGGTATTGGTTCACCAACCCACAACTCTCATGCATTGGCCGTTCAACCACCTTCTTTTTATCTAGTCATAATCAGCCCACCTATCTCTCTCGCTACCATGTATTCATGCCCTAGACTCTATCCTTCCAGCTAGCATCCATTCCTCCCTTCATATCATCCACATCTAGAACAGGGCCTGACACTACTGAATGAATGAATCTATGCATCTGTCATTTACCACCCAAACATTCATCTCCCCACCCATCTACCCACCAAACTCTCCATTATCCATCCTACTACTCATCCACTCATCCATCCATCCATCCATCCATCCATCCATCCATCCATCCATCCCCACTGATCCCATTCATCCCTCCATCTATGCACCCACCATCCATCCATGTACCTTCCCAGTGATCCTCCCACTCATCAATCCATTTATCATCCATTCTCCCATTCGTTTATCAGACCATTCCACCACCTTCCCATCCACCCGTCCTTCCATCCATCATTCCTTTCATCCCTCCACCCACCCATCCACTTGCTCATCTATCTATTGTTCCTTCTCCTACACAAACACTCATCCATCCATCCACCCATCCATTCACCCACTCATCAGTTTACCCATCCTCATCCATCCATCCATCCACAAATCCATCCACTCACCCCTCTCTCCTCCATCGCATCCACGCGCTCTCCCATCTATCTTCCCACTTTTTCATCCAACAGCATTTTCTCAGCATTTGACCTTCCGCTCAGATCTGTGGGCATTGGAATGTGAAAGCCACAGTCTGGGCTACCCAGGAGCACGTTCTCTACTTAATCACAGAGCGATAAGTGTTTTGATGAAGGGAAGCTCAGAGGGCACACCTTATTAAGTCAGAGGTGTTTGTTAGGATGGGTCAGGAAGGCCTCAGTAATCCTAACCTCAGCTTTTATTTTGTAGATTGGCAAGCTCCCCTCACAAACCACCGAGACGCTGGCTGCCTTCATCCCTGAAGTGAGTGCCCTGACTACCCGCCATCACCGTGCCCTGCCCTGCCACGGTCGCCAGCGAAGGGACAGGGCTTTGGGAGGCAGCTTTTCAGTGCCACGTCTCCCTTGGCCAATGTGGAATCGTCCAACTTCTCCATAAAGTACCCTCTTGGCCCAGCACAGAAACAGCTCAGCTTTTATGCTTTGTGCTTTCTATGTCCAACGTAGAAAGAGCCAGATTGTCTGTTTTGTTTCTTTTATTTCCTGATAGACACATCCCAGCCTTTGCATGTCGTGCTTCCTGGGTTCAAGGTAGAAATCACCTATTTCCTGAGGGAGTCCTGGCTTCAGCTGAAGCCACAGTCTGAGGGTTGGCCCTGAGGGGAGTTCCCTGGTTTCTGTAGGTGGCTGAGGCCTATCCCAAGCCGAAGCCCTTAGTGGCCCAGATCAGGATCAACAAGCCCCCCACAGTCACCGCGAAGACAGGCAAGAGCTTGCTGCACCTCCACGGCACCCTGCAGATGTTCGCTGCCCGGCGGCGGGGCAGGGCTCCCGTGTCCCTCTTTCTCCTGGAAATTGTGAGTGGAGTCTGTTCCCCGTTTAGGCCCAACCTCGTGGATCTTCAAGGCTGGAGCTGGGGATTTCAGTTGATAGCCAAGTAATGGAGTGAAGGGTTCTCAGTTAATCTCAGTTGTGTGAGCCTAACCTCCGGGGCACTTCTCCTGATGTCTGATCCTGGCTCTGCCATTGAACCTTTGAATAGCTAGAAAGATCAACAAAAGGAGGGTCAGTAGATTAGTCCTTCCTTTCTCTCTCCTCCCTCCCTTTCTTTCTCCTTCTCTCTCTCCTTTCCTCCTCCCTCCAACATTTATTACCATCTATAAGGGCAGTGAAGGGCTCACTCTGGGGACTGTGGGAGCCTAGAGAGATCCCAAATCTAGTGTGAGGAAATCATAGAGGACTTCCCAGAGGAGGTGATGCCTGAGCTATGTTTTGAAGGTTGAGCAGGAGCTGGCCAGGGAAAGGGTTGATGTTGGGAAGGCTGGTGATGGAGGGCACTCCAAGCAGAGGTCATAGGATGTACAAAGGTCTGAGGCAATAACACAGTGTGTACAGGGACCACAGGCACGCCAGGTATTTCTGAGTGTGCTGTCCTGGGCCAGATACAGGGAAGAGGAGGAGCCTGGGCTAGTGGCATGGGGATACTGCTGGGTTCAGTTCCTGAAGGTGGGATGGGCAGAGAAGAAGACCCTGCTTTGTCTAGGCGGTGGTGGGGTGCTTGGAAGGTGGTAAAGCCCGTGATTTTATGAGCCCTGATGGGGGACCTACTGCCTTCTCCATGCTTCCCCCCACGCCAGCACTTCAACCTGAGAATCCAGTACTCAGTCCGCGAGGACAGGCTGCAGATGGCCACCTCTCTGGACAGGTAGGAGTCTGCTGCCCACGCGGCATCCCTGTCCCCCTGCCTGGGCATTACCAACACCACTTGGCTTCCTGCTCCTGGGTCTCCCTTTGATCCATCCAGCATGGCCCATGCTGTCAGGCTGCTCTGCTCACTATCCCCATTCTAGAACTCTCAATGGCTCCCCATTGTCTGCATGATCTTTTCTCAAATCCTGGCCCTCAAGGCCCTTCTGAAATTCTCCCATCGCTGCTCCCACCGTTCCACTAGGCCCTTGCACAGTGAGTCTGATCACGGGCCCATGTCCCCTTTTCCACTCATAGGCTTTTGTCCATGCCATCCAAATGCCACCTGCCAGTCAGTGCCTGCCTCAAATGCCACCTCCTTCAGGAAGCCTTTCCTTATACTAACAACAGCTAACATTCATAGAGCTCTGTCTGTGTGTGAGGCACTGGTTATACACATTATAATCATCATCCCACTTCAACATCCTAGTTTATATTCAGTTGCTCATTAATTTTTTTATTGGCCTTCATCTTTGCTCTGACTTGTATTAGGCCAGAATGCTTTCAGTTGCAAGAGACAGTTCCAACTTTAACTGGCTTAAGCCCAAAAGGGGATCCTTTGGCTCATATGATTGAAACTCTAGGGGTATACTGCTTTCAGGCATGGCTGGATCTAGGTGTGCAAAGTCCTCAAAAATCTGTCTCTCTCCTTCCTTGGCCTTTGCTGTCTACTTTGTTGGCTAAATTCCCAGGCAGCCTCTCCCCAGGTGGTGGCAAAGTGACCCCAACAACAAGAGAGGCCCCTTGTCCAATAGTTCTAACAAAGTTACCAAGGCTGATTCTCATTGGTCTAACATTGATCACATGACTACCCTAAGCTAATCACTGTCACTCAAGAGATGGAATGCTCTGATTGGTCAGGCCTGGGTCATGTGCTCACCCAGGGGCTCTGGGCTCAGCCCCACCTGAATGCCTTGGAATGAGAGTGGAAAATGGAGGGTCTGTTACTGGAATAGAGAAGAGCTGTTGGGAAGATAGAGCCACCAGATGACCATCACACGGCCAGTTCTGGTGCCAACATGTATTAGTGCCCAGTGGAGGCTGTGCAGGGGAGGGGGCCAGGCGAGGGGCCCCAGTTCTGTGTCCTGCAAGGATCTGGGAATGACTACTTGAGCCACAAACCTCTGCATACTGGGCCTCGGGTGGGAGCAATAGCCATGGCCAGGGGTCCCAGAGGGAAGAGTCAGGACCGATGAGAGGAGGCGGTGGTTTGAGCTGTGGGAAGCAAAATGGGCTGTGATGAAAGGTGGTGAGTGCCCCCTCATAGGTAGCATGCAGGTTTATGAGCACAGGCTCTGAAGGCTGTAGAGGAGAGTTCTGCATCAGGGAGGGGTTGGGGGGGTTTGAGATCCCCTTTCTCCAGGGCCGGGGCGGTGGCTCTGACTGCCTTCCCCGCTGCTTGTTTCCTTTTCCCTTGCAGATTGCTGAGCCTGTCCCGGGCATCCTCATCTGTTGGCACCTTCAATGTAAGTGTCCCAAGTGCTTCTGCCTGGTCTGGCTTGAGGGCAAGACTGGGTCTATTCTCCTTTGAGACTGCAGGGAAAGGCCCTGCAACGGAGGCAGAGTGAATAGAGCAGGTCATTGTGGGGCCTGGGGTTTCTGACTTGCTGTGTGACCCTGGGAAAGTCACTTAGCCTCTCTGGGTCTGTTTCTTTGTCTGGATAGAATCTGGACATCTCCCTGGATTGATTTTTAAAACATTGTCATGTGTAGCAGCAGTCTGAGCTGGCTTGGTTGGCCCAGCTGTCATTTTTATTAGTCTCTGTAGCCTCAGGGTCCAACCCAGAAGCTGACCCAGCTGGTGCTAATAATAATAACAACAATAGCACTTACTCCACTATGTGCTTTACTCAAACTCATGGAATCCCTGTGAGTAGGTGCTATTACATTCCACGTTCACAGATGGGGAAACTGAGGTACAGAGAGGTCGTGAATGAATGACTGATCGAAGCTACTGAGTTTTCAGTAGGAGCAGGAATGGGGTCCCCAGTCCCCTCAGTGTGTCCTGAATTCCTCCGTGCCTGCACACGAGCCAAGGCCCACATGTCACCTGCACAGGGACTAAGCAGAGGTGAAGGGCATCAGCCTACGGTCAGACAGGGTCAGGCCTCATTCTGATGCTAGGGGGACAAACTATACAATGTCTCTCATATTCACTCCTGTGGTCCCCGGACCCAGTTGGAGCGAACAAATCTGTTGAACTGAAGTGAATGATGGGGTGTGGGTATTTTCTCTCTTTCCCCCAGGTGAAGGAATTGACTGGCTTCATCAAGGGTTATCTCCAAGAAGCCTACATCCCGGTCATCAACGGTGAGGGCTCCAACAGGCCTTGATTGTGCTGCTGCCAAGAAGCACTCTAAGTGGGAAGGGATGCCACCTGGGTGGTCTCAAAGCCCCTCCACTGACACCAGATGGGGGAGGCTAAAAGGGAGTGGATGGTCATTGCTGAATCTTTGAGGGTGATAAAGTCTTAATGTCACCTCCCTGGGTACTAAAGGCCTGTCCCATAATCTGGGACGCTTGACCCCTGACCCCACACCATGAGTCAGATCTTGACCCAGACCTGGGATGTAAACACATGGTGATCTGCTTATGCTTTCTATGCCTGTGCAGCTGGCAGACATCACGAGTCAATCACCGCACTATTCCCCACTACTGGGCTCCAGGCAGCCACTCCTTAATCAATTGCAGAGCAGTCAGGCTGAAATGACTCTGTTTCTCAGATGTGCTCCAAGTTGGGCTCCCACTCCCGGGCTTTCTGGACATGAATTACAACCTGGCCGAGGTGGACATAGTGGAGGTGAGGAAGGGAAGGCCTCGTGGGTCAACACTTTCAGCCAGTGAGTGATGAGCAAAAGCCTGCCGCTCTCATCCTGGAGGGAGCAGGGCTGAGAAGGGCAGTGGCCGTCAGTACAGTCCTGCCAGTCGCTTGAGCAAGAGACCCTGCCCCTGAGAACCTGGGCCCCCCTTGGCCAGGGGCTCCCTAGGAGGAAACCAGTTCTGCTTCTCTCCGTCCCTGCCACCGTGGGCAAATTACTTCACCTTTCTTTATGCCTCTACTTTCTGTTGCTTAAAATGGGGAGATAATATGTGTATCCACCTCGGAGAGCTGTTGTGATGGTTCACTGAGATAATTCACCTAAAAGCACACAGTAAGTGCTCAATAAGCATTAGCTTTACATTGCATGCCAAGCATTGTGCTTGGAGCATGAAACGTGCATTTTTCTCATTCGATCTCTCCCCTCTGGGAAGCAGGGTGCTTGTCCCCACTTGACCATTGAGAAGACTGAGGCTCAGAGAGGTGAAGGGTCACCAGGCGAGTCTAGTTCAGCCTTTGCTCTTAAACACCACGCTGGTTTCCATTTCCCGGCCACGGCGCGTTCCATCCCATCCTGCACCTGGGTGGCCCCCGTCATTGCTCCCGGCACTGCCACCTGGCCCCTTGCCTCCTGCCAGAACGCCCTGCTGCTGGACCTGAAGCTGGACTGACTCAGCGGGATTCACCCGCCAGCTGCCTGCACACGCTGCCGACCGGCTGCACCCTGTGGAGGAGCCTCCGACTGGCGCCGGGTGGCCTGGCCCGTCCCACCCGTGGCCGCTGCCTCTGACGAGGCGTGAGCGGGCAGGCCTGGCTGGGGCCTGGGCAATAAACGGGAGAAAGGCCCTTACAAACATCTGGTGCTTCCAGCTCTTTATTTGTAGCAAATCGATGGGTGGCTTTTCTTCCCCTTTGGTGGGTTTTGGGTCTAAGACCGGCTTGGGGTCTGACGGAGGCTGGTCACAGCCTTGGGGGCAGGCTTGAGCACATACTGAGCACCTGCTGAATGCCCTGCTCGGGGCTTTACTTGCATCATCTCATTTCATCCACACAATAACCCCATGGTGGGAGGGCAATCGTTGCCGTCCCCACTTTACAGATGAGGAAACTGAGGCAGGGAGGTCAACTCTTTTGCCCAAGGTCACACAGTTTAGCAAGTGGCAAAGCTCTCCTCCTCCCCCACCCCCATCTTAGCTGCCTGCCCCAAATCTTGGCATCTTGAGAGAGCCTTTAGAAGCCTGGGGTGCTCCCAGGAGTTCCGCCCGAGTCACCCCCTTCAATCCTCACAAAGTTGAGGGAGGTGTGGACTGTCCCCATTTCACAGATCAGGAAAGTGAGGCTCAGAGAAGTGGAACAACTGGCCCCAGGCCACCTGGCAAGTCAGGGAACAGAGCTGGGATCGGAATTTGGGCTCTGGAGCCACTCTGCCTGGGTTCAAATCCTGGCTCTGCCTCCTCACTGCTGTGTGCCCTGGACAAGTCACTTCACCTCTCTGAGCCTGTTTGCTCACCTGTAAAATGGGAGTGATGGCAGTACCAACCTCGGCAGTGTTGTTGTGAGGATTGAATGAATCAAATCACAGAAAGTGCTTGGCACAGCGCCGGGCCCCCAGGAAGTGCTCAGTAAATGTCAGCCACGGGGGAGTCTCTGAGGCTGAGAGACGCGAACAGGCGTGTCTGCATAGGAGTCAGGGGGGAGGATGCTAATTGTGCGAGACCACGTGCCAGTGTGTGTGTCCTCGAGCACGTGTCAGCGTACGCACAGCCTGTGGGTCAGGGCAGCCTGGGCGTCTGCAGCCGGTGTGTCCGGTTGCGGAGGGCCGTGTGTGGAGAGACCTGTGGTGTCTGTGTCCCCATGTTCACTCCTACGTCGTCTGTGCCGAGGGTGTTTCCAAGTCTCACAGACGAATTCATGTGAGGACCGGCTCCTGATGCTTGTCATACCTGCCCCGTCACCTCTCCTGGGATTGATGCTGACACGATTCTTTAAATCGACTCCTTTTGAAAGTAAATGTTGGGGCTGGCCCCGTGGCACAGTGGTTGAGTTCAACACGTTCCGCTTTGGCCGACCCAGGTTCGCGGGTTCGGATCCTGGGTGTGGACCTACACCACTCGTCAGCCACGCTGTGGTGGCGACCCACATATAAAGTGGAGGAAGATTGGCACAGATGTTAGCTCAGAGCTAATCCTCCTCAGCAAAAAAA